CCTCAGAGCCTCAGATCTGTTTGATCCATAAATAGGGGACAATAACACCCAACTCATGGGATTGTTGTGAATGTTAAATGAGAAAAGGCATATAAACAGTCATGATAGCTAACGTCACAGAGCATTTTCTAAGAGCTGGGCACTGTGCTAATGACCTCATGCCCATTATCTCTTTTAGTCCCCACCAAACCACTCAAGGAAAGCACAGTTAGAACCTGCATTTTACAAGCAAGGGGACTAAAGTTTGGGAAGATTAAATGACTTCCCCGTGATCACACAGGGAGGAAACGCAGAGCCTGGGTTTGAATCCCGGTCACCTGACTCACTGTGCTTTTAACCACCCTGTAAATGACCCTCTAAGGGGTTAGCTCAGTCCCTGGCATTTAGTAGACGTGTAATGAATGGTAGTAAGAAGATTCTGTTCTTATTTTAGCATTTCTCCTGATCACCTGCCTTTGTCATGACTGCAGAATTCACTGCTAGGGTCCCTTCTGCACGCCAGCATCTGGCCTATCTGTCTTACTTAATCTTCCCAATGACTCTGTGAAGTGTTGATTATTGTTTTCACTCCTCAGATGAGTAAAGAAAGTCTCAGAGAGGTTAGTTAACTTGGTCCAAGGTCAGACAGCCAAGAAGTGGTGGGGCCAGGATTTGAGCCCAGGGATATGTGATTCCAGAGCCCAGGTGGTTTCCTCTTCATTTCTCCATGCTGCCATCTTTCAGAATCTGTTTCGCCTCAGTGGAGCTCTCCTGACAGCTGAAACACTCCTTCATTACTCCCTGCTCTTGCTTCTGAGCCTAGCTCTTTCTTGTACTCTGTTTTTGAATTGTCCCTCCATTCCCACTTATGGGTAATAGCTACCATTTATTGAACACTTTGATGTACCCCGTATCACCATCAGAGCTGTACAAGCATGATCTCATTTAATCCTGCTGAGAACCCTATGAGGTGGAGGTTCTGATTCCCATTTTACAGATGAGAAAGCAGGTTTAGGGAGGTGGTGTAACTTTCTCAAGTTGCTTCAGTCATTTGCCAAAGGAAACCTAACTAGTAAGTGACAAGCTGGGACCAAACCCCAGATGATTTGGTTCCAAAACCCGTCACCCTAGCTATTATATTGTTTCTCCATATCTTGTAAAGTTCTAGTGGATTGGGAATACAGCTAGAATAGCTACTCCCAAATCCTTGTTGACTGATGTGTTAAAATTTAGTCCTTTACTGGAGGTCTCCATGAAGAAGGTCCAAGCTATCAAATTTGCCAAATCTAAAAAGACTGTAAGCTTAAAAAAGAATTCAGTTTATAAATAGAATGTGCAGGATGGAATATTTGGAAATGTGGTTTTGATATCTAAAATTAGCCTTCCATTCCAAACAGTATGGCGCCTTCCGGCTGTCTTACTGCTCTGTCCTTTGTCATGGAAGCTGGTGCCATCTCTCTCGAGCTGTGACTGACATGTTCTCCTCAGGCAGACCTCAGGCAGTGTGGTCCTCCAGCTGTCTCCTAGACAGACATGGAAAACATCTCCCAAGGAACTGGGTGGGGAAGGCGTAGGGATCCAAGTACAACCCTTTGAAGGTGATATTTGTTTGAATTCCTCTATGGTCCCTCAGGCGTTTTTGCTGTCTCCTTATGTTTTGATTCACGCTTGCTTTTGCTTATTTGTGAGAGTCTCCTGACTGCAAATAGTTCTCACAATCCTCTCAGATGGTCCAGGGAGTTGTTTTCATGGGAAGGACATTAGGATGGCTCTGGCCTCTAGGACACGTGCGACTGACAGCCGTCAAACTCTGACATTGCAAGTGGCCTTCATCAAGTCGGTCGGTCACGCTAGCATTGATTCTAACAGCGTTCACCAAGGATACACAAAATGGCCTTTGCGAATGCATTTTGCCTTTCTCCCTGGGTCTTGGCTGGCATCCTTTTAGTCCTTACCAGGCTGCAGCTCTTGACCATCCAGCAGTGACCCTATCTGCATAATTAGCTTGCATCTGTGGGTGTGTATTTACCCCACCCCCACCCCCGAAAGCAATTGCCTTTGAACTTCGGGAAAATACCAGCATGGAACACTGGAAGGTGTCAGCTCTCTGAGTCCTCTTGTTCCCACAGAGAAGATGAAAGTGGGGGTCATTTTGGAAATCATGTTCCCCTTCTTCTGGACTCTGTATCCTTTAGAGTGAGGACAGGCAAAACTGGAAGTAAACTCAAGAAGAGGGAGAGATCTAGGGAATGCAAAATAATCATTGTGTTTTGATGTCAATGATCCAGAACCACATTGCAAGCTTTGGTTCTTTTACAAGTTGCTGGGCTGCGTCTGGCCGCCCTTGCAGCAGGCGTAGATTTGCTTTTTGGATTTCTCTGTACAGAACACCCTCAGTCACCTTCCTTTCCGTCCCTACTTCTTGGATGATAAGACCCTTGTATGGGTTGGCTAAAGAGTTCGTTTGGGTTCTTCTGTTAAGATGTTATGGAAGAACCCGAACGAATTTTTTGGCCAACCCAACACTTATTCTCTGGGAGGGCTTGACCCCCTGAGTTAAAGCATTCCCCCACCCCTGTCTCCATCCTCAGCCCTGTGATCTCAGCAGCACACACACATTTGTGCAGCCTCTCCAACCTCAGCCATGTTATGTGCTTACAGTTGCTATTGAAGAAGAGGGATGTGGTGATTTAAGATGAAGGTTTGGATTTAGAGTCCTGGGTTCTAGTTCTTGTTGCCTTGGACAGGCCATTTGACCTGTGAGTCATAATTCTAATCCCTAAAATGGAATAATAGCAGTACCTGCATTCATAGGGTTGGGTAGGATTGGATGGCATAATGCATGTACAGTGCTTGGTACACAGTAGGTGCTCAGTAAATGGTGACAGTTATTGCTGGATGAAGAATCAGTAGTCTCCCTTCCATCTCAAACTAATTATGTGACCTTAATCAAGGCATTGAAATATCCGGAGTCTCAGTTTTTTGATCTGTAGTCTGGGGACAAAAATAACTTTTCTCTGCACTCTTCACGAGGTTCTTATAAGAATTTGGTGGCAGCAGCAGCAAGATCTGTTTTAGTTTCAGAAGTTGAGGAGCTACTCTGCTTTTTGCAGTTGGCTACCCAGAGGCTCCAGACAACACCCAGAGGAGAGCTAGGTAGAAAACCCTGTATTCAAACAATGCAGGCAGAGCCACAACCCATATTTTCTCTACTCAGGAGCAACAAGGTCTCCTAAAACAGCTGTACTTGGAAGAACTCTTGTAAAAACCCCTTTAAACTCAAACTTCTCAAAACCAGACATGCTGGTGCATCAAAATCTCAATTCCCAGCAATGAATCAAAGCTTTAGAGTCCCAGTGACAGAAGCCAGATGGGAGTTCAAATATTCAGGCAGGGTATCTATGGCCCCAGGTTGCAATATTTGCTTTGACTAGTGCTTACTGAGTACCTCTATGAGCTGCACTCAGAGTTCCATATGGTACATGATTGGGAAATTTACAGGGAGTGATAAGCATGGAATTCAGGATAGTGGTTGTGAAGGAAGTGGGGAGGTGGTGAAGGAAGGAATGGGACTGGGAGAAGCACACAGCAGGTTTCAATTATTTTTTAAAAAGCTAGGTGGTGGGTATATGGTTATTGGTTTTATTATTCTATATATTTCTATAGAACATTTAATTATAAAAGGGGAGAAAAGCAGAAAGGAGCCCAAAATCCAGAAAAAAGTAATAAGAAACAGCATTCTGTAAGGGCCATATGTATTTTTATCTATCCTGGTAACTACTTTATTTCTGTTGCCTCTCATAGAGCCTGGTCCAGAGTACGTGATGAATGAACTGTTGTTGACTGAATGGATGGATGGATGGATGGATGGTTGGATGGGTGAATCTAATGCTCCTCCATCCCATCATCTTTGATCCCACCTCTGCTGCATTCCATTTGTCAAAGTATAGGTCAATAAGCAGAAGGGCTTCCTGGGAACATTTTGTTTCTGCTCTGGTCTAGGACACAATACTATGGCCTGGCCAACAGCAGGTGGCTTTGATCATCATTTAACATTGCTCTATTTCAAGAAAAACGTCCTTGTGAGATTTATCCTCAGGGACACCAACCTGCTGCAGGGCTCTCTGGAGTTAATTCCTCTGGCTTAGTCTTGCCTGCCAAACACATTCCCCTAGGTGACTGCCTTTCAGGCTCACCTAAGAGGTTTCTGTAAGTGCTAACACTCCTTTCACTTAGCCCAAGGGGGAACTGGAGTCTTTACTCTCAAGACTAAGTAAGAGAAGCATCAGTGACGGCAGCTGCTGCCGCAGGAGAGCCCAGCTTGTTAAGTACTTGCTCCCAGCTGGAGAGGCTTGAGAGGCCCTCCTTATTCTACCTGCTTCAGGTTCTCACTTCCTGGGAAGGGAGTCAGAGGCTGTGGGGCTGCCCGTGTGAATAGGGGCTGGGGAGAGGATCAAGATGGAGGCGTGCTCATCTTATTGAAGCAAATTATGTGCTTCCATACCTGCCAACATGATGCCAGAGGAGCTGGGAAGCTGAAGTGCATTACTTATGCCTATGAAACTCTTAGCTGAAAAAGGTAGGTGAATAGGCATGGAAATGCTCATCCTCCAAGTCAGCTCCTTTCCTAAGCTAGGGGCCTGATGAAGGTGCTTGTCGAGGGATGAACAGTGGCCAGGATGGGGGTTGGGAAGAGTGTCAGGTTTGACAGCAGTGCTCTCAACCTCTGGGCCTTATTCGCTATAATAGGATAACAGTCAAGATATTTAGTAATCAGTATGGCATAGGCACTAGCCAATCAGCATGAAGAAGGGCTTTATTGCTGGAGGTCTCAGCTGCAGCTGGCCTTAGCTTTTTAGCTGTTGGATGGGAGAGCGATGGGGAGGACGACATGGAGAAAGGGTCAGGGTGTGGGAGCGGGGAGAGGTCTTGGGGAGCTCAGAGCATCTATTCACCTATCAGTACAGGACGATTTCAATATATTAACCACCAGTGAGGTCATACTCCTGCTGAATGTCAGATCCAAATGTCAGCTCTGCTATACCACATGAGAAAGGTGAATTTGATTCTCATACTCCATGTGCCTCAGAATCACTTGGGGAGCTTGTTGAAAGCACAGAGGCTTAGTCCCCACCTCAAAACTACTGAACGACACCCTGTAGGGCCCTGGCTTGGCCTGCTATGCTCCTGAGACCTGTGTGCCTGGATCAGTGGATGTCTGGGGATCCAGCTGTAACTTTCAAGGGGTTTATGATGCCTCTGGGAGATGAAGTCAAGCACGCAGTCTCTAGGGGAACACGCCCAGTTCAGGTGCAGGTCGTGTGAGTGAGTGAAGCAGGCTACTGGGGCTGCGTGGCAAATTGAAGAGCGCATGTCCGTTTCACGGCAATTGCAGCCCCATCAGATGGCTGCCAGTCGGGAGCGCAGGCCTGGCGTGGACGGACCTTCTGAATTGTCAAGGGAAGTTGGAAGTCAGTGAGTCAGCTCTGCATCTCACCAAGTCACAGGTAGGGTGTCGCTTTAAACTCTTCCTGCTACAAAAGCTCTGTCTGTGGGAGGGGGGAAGGGTGGAGGAGGTGCAGCTGGTCCCACGCGATAAGGGAAGGAGACAAGTTTTAAGTGAGGCCCTTGATGCTGCTCAAGTCAAGTGTGACCCCACCATTTCCTTAGGTGTGGCCCTCAGAGTCTGTCCTCAGCTGGTTGCACCCCTCCTTCACCTCTCAGATGCTCCCCCTGCTCTCTGCCCCCTCCCCCAGGCAGAGCCTGCCCTCTGCAGCTTTCCTAGCACTGAGGTGTCAGGTCTGATCATGGGGTGAAGGGGCACCTCTTCTAGAGACTCTGAGTCTTAGCTGAGGGGATGGAGCTCTCACAGGATGGAATATGTGGCTTCAGACGAGAGGTGCTAGGGATCCAACTGGGATCCCGGGAATGTTCCACAAAGGAGTAGATTCCTCTGTACTTAGGTACAAGAGAACTTGGCTTGATTGCTACATTTAAACCCATTGCCAAATGCTGCTTTCCCTGCTTGGGCACCCACCCCTTTGTCTGCCTGACTCTTTCTTGTCCTTCAGGACTCAGACTGTGTTGTGACCTCCATGGCTAGGCTACTTGGTCTCCTTTTAGCACCACATCCCCGGACAGGCCCTTGTTTTCGGCTTTTTCACCTGGAATTTCGATGGTCTGCTTCCTTAAAAACATTCAAGGCTAACATTTATCAGGTGTTCACTATGTGCCAGCATGGTTCCGGTCACTTTATTATCTCAGTTAACCCTCACAATAGCCCAGTGAGGTCGGCACTATTATCGTTCCTATTTAAGAAGACAAGGCTCAGACAGGTTAAGTAACTTGCCCAGCATCACATAGCTAGCACGTGGTAAATGAAGATTTGGACCCAGTTTTTGTGCAGCAGAGCCTGCAATTGTAACCACTGCATTATGCCACCTCCTTGCAGTTTGAAGTCAGTGGCCTGACATCAAGGATGGTCTCTTATTTCATGTAGCGTAGTCCCAAGTTAGGCTCTGAAGTTAGATAGGGTGAGGGCAGCTATCAAACTCGCTCTGTCACTGTCTGTGGTTACCCTTCAAGCCTCAGTTTCTTTGGCTCTATAATGGGGACAATTGTACTTGCCTTATAAGGTTATGGTGGACGTTATAGGAGAGGATGTATCTCTTGTTCTCATTGCAGTACCCAGCTCATAGGAATATCTGAAACATGGTGGTAGGATAAATGATGGGCAGTGCCCAGTGAGTTCAACTTTTACTGCCCCTTTCAAATCCTCATATGACTCCGCAGAGATGGGATTTGGTTTGGGAGGGAGTGGGTCTGATGCGGGGCATGGGGGAAGAAGGCTGGATGGAATGGGGATGGCCAGCCTCTGGCGTTGTTTACATTTCTCAGAGAGGTTACTCTATAGAGACCGTGGACAATGGGAAGAATATTCTGTTTCATTTGGAGGGTATGGATTGTATCTTCACTACGCCCAAACAACCTGATTTTCAGCCACAACAGTTAAAAATTAACTGGCTCCATTGCTACTGAGGCACAAACTAAATGTTTGGTTGGCTGGGCATGCCGTGTATCTGCCACTCTGGGTGTAGATTGCTAAACTCATTAACTCACCAAGAGTGCTTTTTGGGGTAAATACGAGGTGTAAGTACTCATATTTTGACAAATCGTACAATGCCTGCCTGTCTTTATGACTTTTCCCCATTTCTCCATCTGGATTACTATATTCAGCTCATTGAGTCATGCAGTTGGGCCTGACAATTTTTGTGGAATAGACATGGGTCACTATCACACAGAAACACCAGAGCATGTGACCACATTGGCTCTACCAACCCCAAAGGTCTGTCATAGGTGCAGTATTCCTTGGCAGGATTATGGTTTGGTTTTTGTTTTATTAAGGCCTGGAAAAGTCTTGACAATTTAGTTTGCCAAGTGTGTGGTTGGTACATAAAATATGGATGTTTTTAATCCCAGGATCTTCAAGAACTGTCCAGGGAGAAGGTCTAATTAGACCTGCCTTTTTTTTTTTTTTTTTTTTTTGTGCGACGCAGGCCTCTCACTGCTGTGGCCTCTCCCGCTGCGGAGCACAGGCTCCGGACGCGCAGGCTCAGCGGCCATGGCTCGCGGGCCCAGCCGCTCCGCAGCATGTGGGATCCTCCCGGACCGGGGCACGAACCGGTGTCCCCCGCATCGGCAGGCGGACTCTCAACCACTGCGCTGCCAGGGAAGCCCAGCCTTTTGTTTTTTTAAATGACATCCAGGCTTAGTAGCAAATGGCATTTATGCACTAAAGTGCCCACATCGATGGGCATGCAATAAATGTTAAATCACAACAATTAAGTTAAATGAGAATTAATGATTTGTCTTACAGCATTGCCTCAACTCCCTGGGGTGCTCTTTTACCCCCGTTTACAAGGCTTTGCCTGGCTGGTCCCACTCACTTCAGCCCCACCTTAGTGGGGTCACCTACTTTTGCAGACTCCATCCTTCTTTCCCCATCTGTCAAGAATGTCAAGGCTGCTCTCCTACTCTTTTATCTTCTTCCCTGACACTTCCCCTAATCCTCTTTCTCTCTCACTCTCATCACCTCCCACTCTCTCCTCCATATTTTCTTCACTCTCCCTTTCTCCTCCTTCTTACCCACTTTTCCTCTCCAACCTTATTTGTCCAGTCCCTTTTTATAGAAACTTTCCTCTAGAAGGCACCCCCAACCCAGCTGTGGATTGGCATCTTCTCAGTGACATTGTTGCCTTATTCCGCACCCTGGTGAAACAGCTAGGCTGCTCCAAATAGAAGAAATCAGTGAAAGTAAAGACTGTTGCAATGCAAACAGAATGTATATCTAAACTCAAACCCCTTACCAAGTTGTTTCTAAGCATGCATTGTTTTCTTGGGGAAATCAGACTAGAGCCAGGATGAATGAATTGTCCATAACACCATACAAGACCCTCTCCACAAGTACGTGATTCCTGCTTATCTATCGTGTAGGATTATATGTGGGCAAACAGATTGAGAAGCTTAAAGTATGAGAGTAGTCAGCTTTCTCTCTGACCTTGTTTGGAGCAAAGCCAGGAAGCTGTCTCTCTTTGGTTTAGAGGGTTCTTGGAATGTTCAAAGTATCTGTCTCACACCCTTCCCAGAAATTCTCCCTTGGCAGCCAGGATTATGACTTGGTGGAGGCACAAATATATGGTGGCTACTAGTGGCTGGTGTCTAGGTCCCAGAAGATGGCAGAAGCTGTTCTAAGATGTTGAGGTCAAAGAAGTAATGCCAGCATTCCACCATTGTGACCCTCCTGGCTGAAGCCCCTTTTATAACATCATAGAAATTCTACACAGAACCCAGAGGATGAGAGGCTGCACACTCCATGCTGGGGAATAGAGTGGGCAGGATGAGCTCCCATTCCTTGGTCTGGGTAGTGGCCTTGCTACATTGAATCATTATGTTTGGAAGGTCACCTAGTCTATCTTCCCAGCCAGGGCAGGAATCCCCACTCCCACTTGTCCTTTCCTGGAGGTAAAATGGACAGAACAAGGACCATGCTTGAGTCCCCAAAGAATGGCAGGACGCCCTCAGTGGAGGCATACTGTATTTAAATGCAATTCACCTCTTTGGGGTCTAGGAAAAGCCACCTGTAGATTCATTTGCTGGGAAACACGGTCTGCGTGGTCGAGGCAGTGGGCGCTGGGGCCATGATTTTGCTAAAGGTTGACTTCCTCCGGAGGTCTGTCTGCTGTCCAGAATGGCAGCCGCTTCGGTGGGCAAATAGGACGGTCATCTCTGGGCCCAAGGGGGCTGCTTCAGGCTGGGACCCCTTCGGGGTGGCTGGTTGTTCAGGCTTCCCAGAGGTGTGATGTTTGGCGGGAGGAGGGCTGTAATTCTGGAATCTCACAGTTTTGACTTGCTGTAAGACAGAGGAGAGCAAAGGGACATAGGTGAGTGGGAGACCTGTGCTATTTCCCCCTGGGACTTGGTTCATGCTGTTTCTCTACACTTGTCCCTTCCTGGAATGCCTCATTCACGTGTTCATCCAGCAAATACTTGTGTCTGTCATGAGTGTCGACCATGCAGCACCACTCTGTCAGGTGCTGTGAAGCCAAGAGTGAGCAAAACCGCCCTGACAAATGACAATGATAGCCAGTGCCACTGCGGGGGGAGCAGACGATGCTGAGGAATGCGGAGAAGTATCCACCTGAAGCTGGAATGGGCCTAGTCCGAGAAGGCCTCTTAGAGGCAGAGTTATTTCAGCCGAGAACTGAAGAACGACTGGGAATTAGCTGCGAGAAATAGGGGGGACAACCACCTACCTGAGAACAGGGTCCTTCACCTCCCCTCTCTCCTTCCCACCTGCCAGTAAGGCCTCCCTGCTGACTCCATCCAGACAGTTCCTTCATAAACCCTCAGAGCAGAGTTAGCCAACTGGACACTGCTGACTGAACATAGTCTGCAGAAAGTCTGGGAGTTTGAATTAGTTGCTAACATAAAAATTGGGAGATGCATATAAAAATCAGCATTTTATATGTCCCTTAAGATAATCAAAGTGCAGGCACACTGGGGCCTGTGCCCCATTCTGGCAGCAACTGGCTGGAGCTGATTAGCGGGTCCCACTTTATGTGGGAGTCAATGATCTGATGTTTGCTTAAGCGCTTCCTCTCTCCCTTCTTTCCTAGCCTGTTTTAGCTCCTGTATATTAGATTTTACTCTGGCCATTCCCTATCTTACAGCTTAATAAAGTGTTCTGTGCTACTGCTCGGAAAGCTTTTTTTTTTCCTGTGAAATTCAATCCCAAAGTCTTGAGATTGAAAGGTGAGTGGGAGACCAAATGTCTTCATTCTTTTGACCCTTACCATGTCCAGCAGAGGTCTGGGCACTTACTAAACACAGTTTGAGGGCTGCATCTAATGGCTTGGGGGTAACTGACAAGTGGGGTGTGGAAAACTTTGAATTATTTGAATACCGTAATTCAGAAGAAGAACTCTCAACGTTTTAATCAGTTAACACT